AGATGAAATGACTAAGCTAATACAGACAAGATGAAATGACTAAGCTAATACAGGGGTTGAAATATATGTCTCAATGCAGCGGCCGACCGGTGCAGGCACGTGGTGCTTGATGCACGATGGCAGGATTAATAGACATACAGTACAGCCGCAGGATGGATGGCGAGGCATCGTGTTGAGCCAAGGGCAGGCAGGTTGGAGGGTAGTTGCATCCATCCGTCTACCCATCTATCCATGCATCCATCCATCCATTTTCTGTAATTATTATTGGATTTACTTAAAAGGTGTGAAATAATAGTGGTGGTCAAGCTGGTGCTACTGGGCCAGTGGGTGGCTCCCAGCAGTCTTTAGGGAACGTCCACATGGCAGCACCTCATCCCTGGGCCTCTCTTTCTCTCCTCTAGAGTCGGAGCAGAGCAGCAGCCCACAGACGGCAATCGGCTCCGACCAGGAGGACAGTAGAGCAGCCACCACAGGTAGGCTCGGCCCGCCACCCCCGAGCGCCCCGTCCTTTGATCACGCCACCCCATTATGCCCTGTTTCCCTTCACCGTCCTCCTCCACTGGTCAGAATGAGCTCCGCCCAGCTTCCGCTGCCATGGCAGTGGCAACTGTAGATGTCTTTCTGGCATGTAAAAAAACCAATAAAGAGGTCCATTAATTTTTTTTCAGATGCTAACACCAGGGTGACATATTGAGAATGCAGGGTCAGCTGATCTCTAGACAGCTGTGGTTAAGGGCCTCAAGGATGCAAAAGTGACATCACTCTGTCAGTCTGGGATCTGAACCAGCAACCTTCTGATCACCAGAACAGCATCGTGTCCCTCACGGTCACACCCTTACGCTCAATACAGCATTTAAAGCAACAAGGGGATAAGGTCACAGCAACACTCTTGACTATCAAATAAATTTAAATTAGAAATAATTAACAATTAAATTCTCTAACGCATAAGAACATAAGAACATAAGAAATTTACAAACGAGAGGAGGCCATTCGGCCCATCAAGCTCGTTTGGGGAGAACTTAGCTAATATCTCAGAGTTGTTAAAATCTTATCTAGCTCTGATTTAAAGGAACCCATGGTTTTAGCTTCCACTACAATAGCAGGAAGACTATTCCATACTCTGACTACACGCTGTGTAAAGAAGTGCTTCCTCAAATTTGTTTTAAAATGTTCTCCCGCTAATTTCCACTTATGGCCACGAGTTCTAGTATTTAGACTAATATTGAAATAGTCATTTGGCTGAACAGCATCCAGACCCGTTAGAATCTTATAGACCTGAATCATATCCCCCCTTAGTCTCCTTTGCTCAAGGCTGAACAGATTCAGTTCCGCTAACCTCTCCTCGTAAGACATTCCTCTAAGACCAGGAATCATTCTCGTAGCTCTTCGTTGCACCTTTTCTAAGGCAGCAATGTCCTTCTTGAGGTATGGTGACCAAACCTGCACACAGTATTCTAGGTGGGGTCTTACCAAGGAATTATATAAGTGTAACATCACCTCCCTTGACTTAAACTCCACACATCTAGAGATATAACCCAACATTCTGTTCGCCTTTTTTATTGCTTCCCCACATTGGCGAGAGTGGGACATGGAAGCATCAACATACATACCGAGATCTTTCTCGTAATCAGCTACCTTTATTTCAGTGGAACCCATAAAATATCTGTACTGTATATTTCTGCTCCCTGCATGGATTACCTTACATTTATCTGTGTTAAATTTCATCTGCCAAGTATCAGCCCATTCGCTAATTAAATCCAGATCCCGTTGAAGCCTCTCTGCTGCTAGATTAGTATCTGCTACCCCGCCCACCTTAGTGTCGTCTGCAAATTTAACCAGTTTACTGTATGTATTCGTGTCAATATCATTAATGTAAATTAGGAACAATAGTGGTCCTAAAATTGAACCCTGCGGTACCCCACTATAAACGGAGGCCCACTGTGACATAGTGCCTCTAATAACTACTCGCTGCTTCCTATCAGTTAGCCAGTTTTTGATCCAAGCTGCCACAGTTCCTAAAATTCCTGCAGCTTTAAGCTTTAACAAGAGCCGTTTGTGGGGGACAACATCAAAGGCTTTCTGGAAATCTAAGTAAATCACATCATAGGCCTTTTTGTGATCAATTTCACTTGTAGCTTCCTCAAAGAACTCAAGCAGATTCGTTAGGCAGGATCTACCTCTCCTAAATCCATGTTGGCTATCCTTTATAATGTTATTTGCATCTAGGTAATCTACCATTTTCACTTGAAAACGCATGTAAATTCCTGGTATACAGAGATCCTCTTAAATTCATTTTTGCAGTGTTTGAGTTTTTAACTCAAAGCGCAAACCAAGAAGGTGAGCTGAACTATATCAAAGAGAACAGAAGTCTTTGCAGTCCTGGGGGCAAACAGATCTTGCAAAGAGTGGGGTGACCCCGAGGTACTGTAGGCAAGAAGTCCTCACTGGCTTCCCACTCTCTTTTGTATTTTTAGTAAAAAAAAATAAAAATTGCAGAAGTGGATTTCGGATAAATAAAGTGCCAACCCAGGGCTGCCTTTGGGCTTTTTAACACGGCGGTTCCTCACCGCGCGAGCTGCAGCTGGCTGCGACTGAAGCGCGGGGCTGCGGGGCTGTGGGGCTGTGGGTCTGTGAGGGAGGCCGAGAGCCTCCAGGAAGGAGGTCAGACTCGTAAGGAGGTTACATGCCGTTCCGGTGAGTCGTCCATCTGGGTTTCACTCTTTCTGTTTGCAGCAAAATAATCTCTTACTCACAGTCACCACAGGGATTCTGCTACCCTTCCGCCCGCCTGACTCATGTGTGCGTTGCGGTTTGACGTTTATGAGCAGAGCGCGGCCTGTGCCATCGCGGTAATTATGGCGCGCTGAATGAACACGTAACGTTAATTCTGATGCAGGTACAGCTGGCCGGTACGGACAGGGCTGTAATGCCCGCTATCAATCAGGTGCAGGCTATCGACAGTGACACGTGCATTAGAACTGGGGACGGCTGGTTTTGTGACCCACAGGAGTGGTTCCAGGTGTTTGTGATTTTGTTTGTGTCCTGCGTCGCGGCGCTCGATAGGGAGCCTTTGAGATGGAGCTGGAGAGTGTCTGGATGAGTAGGGGGGCACCGGGGAATGGAGTCTGTCCCCCGTGTGCTGACCATAGGGAGCTCGCGTTTGCCTGTGCCGTCGGTTCTCATGGGGTGAACCTCGAAGGCTGGATCCGCGGCTGTCTTCCTTTAAAAGGCCCCAGCAGACAGATGATGCCCCCCCACAGGTGGCTCTCTCTGCAGCACACAGACAGGCCGTTAGCAGTGCAGCAAAGCGACTCGCCTCATTAGGCCAGCAATAATAACTTCTGCCCCTGATGGCCTGTCCAGTGACATTCTCTGTATGTTATTTTTAAGACGTGTGCATATAAGCATCTTGAATATTCTCAGAAAATAAAACGTACGATGATAGTGTGAAGTCTGGTCTGACTTTTTTTTTTTTTTTCCGGTTTGGGACTCATCAGTGGAAAAAGTGACGGTTTCGTGCCGTCTGGCCCTTTCCTCGCACGTCGCAGTTTCTCTCCGGCGTGTTGACGTCCGGTGACCTCAGCCTCCCGGGTGCGAGGGCGTGGACGGAATCACGTGACTCATGATGGGAATCGGCCACAGTGTGGTGACTGTATAATCCTGGCGGACGACGCGGCCTGAGGGACGTGCTGGGTAGCCTGAAGCAGCTGAGATCCTGTCGCAGAACCGGTTTTGTGAAGCACTCATTGACAGTGCAGCTAAAATTAATTCATGAAAATCAGAGGACACACGCCGTCCTTCAGTTACCTCTGGATATTTCAGCCGTACGAGGCATCTACCTGTATCATCAGGGTCGCCAACTCTCACGCATCTCGCGCTCACGCCAGAAATCTTTCTGCAAATCTGTGTTATTCCATGATTAACTGAAAATTAACTGCATCAAAAGCGTTGGGATAGTTTGCAAACCCTACAGACTGTTTACAAGGTAATGAAACTTGTGAATGTGAATGAGTGTGCAGACTTGAAAATCTCACTCCAGCCAGCTGACCGAAGCTGCCGCCCCTGCAGCATCACCTCACAGATGACCCCCTCACACTTTGAATTTTAACTCCTTATCCTCTTCCTCTTTATCTGCCTTATCTTCTTCCTTTTTCTTCCTGCTCCGTGTCTGAAAATGCTGGCTTATTCAGCAGGGCTTGGAAATGAGTTGCACGGCCATATCTGTTTGATCTCAGTCTTTTTCCTGATACTCGTTTGATTGCTGTTTTGAGCACGACGCTGACAAAGCGGTGAGATCCTTAGCCCAGCGTCAGTGGCAGCAGGGGTGAGTTTATCGCCGTGTCAGGAAAACAATCCCCCATTAGTAAAACCTTTCGTGTCAAACTGTCTCTTGCAGATTCGCCGGATTTTAAGGAAAGCTTTGTGACGTCGGGAGTTTTCAGTGTGACGGAGCTGGTGCAAGTCTCCAGAAGTAAGACCATTTATTCTCTTTTCTGCAAAATCAGTGTTATTTAAACCTTGATTCTTTTGATATGTGAATGTGTAAGAAAATACAATACATGGTGTCTGTGATAATCCTCATGATTTAAAACAATGTTTAGGCTAATAGTTATTTTGCAGGCATTAAAGGTTCATTGAATTAACGATTGTGCTCGAAATAAACCACCTTGGACAATCAGTCTCTCCATTACATTTTGTGTATGTAGCTGGATGTATGATTAATATCTGCTTGTATATTTAGACCCATTGAAAGGGAACCATTTATAGCACATACTTACAGACTGTGTCCAAAGCGACGCTTCCATGACTTCATGTAGTGTGCTGATCTCTAGTTCTGAGTAGGAAACAGTGGTGTTTTCCTCTATTATTCCTTCTCATTGTACACATGTGCCTCACACAATATGAGCCTCTGAGTGTTACACCTTTTGTATTTTAAGTACCCAGGGTCACGTGTGCAGCATCCTTTTGCTAATTAGTCTTGGTAAATGCAACCTCTGGCTCCTCTGGAAGGTGCAGACCGCACCGTGTGTGTGAGGATGCAGGAAATGCAGGCATCCATGCAGGTTTCCAGATGAGCGTAGCTACCCTGAAGACCTTTAATTACTGTGGTTACCCCCTAGACCTTGTGGGTCAGTCTGTTGTTGGACTGTAGATGTGTTGCATTGATGTAGGCCCTGATTTACATGCATTTCTCCTGGGTCTCTTCTTAAAATCTAATGGGTCTAAATCACCCATAATGCAAGGCTGTGTGTGTGTGTGTGTGTGTGTGTGTGTGGGTGTATGTGTGTGTGGATTAGGTTTATTTTACATTGTGGTGACCAAATGTTCACCACAATGTGATAAACACCTGTTATTTTGATGTTGTGAATGCAGTCAAAAAAACTACAAAAAATGCCAAAAGTCTTGTATTTTGTTTGGTTACTTATGGTTAAGGTTAGGACTGGGTAGGGATTAAGGTTGGGATTAGAGTTTTCTCCATAGAAATGAATGGAGAGTCCCCACAAAGGTATAATTACAAATGTGTGTGTCCCTCATGCTTGCCAATTCACAATCCACATCGCTACAACCCTTACAGGATGATAGCTTATTTAAAATGGATGGAGGGAAGGGTTTTTAGGACTTTATAGATCCTAAAGACATCACATCACCTTGGCGGACTGCCAGACCATCCCAGTCATCTTTATACTCCCAGATTACACCAGTGCACCCAGTAGATCGCTCTCTCTTACCACTGAGATGTATTCATTACACATCCATTCCTTCCTACACATTTTGGTGGTATTTTCATGTAATTATTTGTATTTGTGTACAGCCTGTCTGCTTTTAGACTCTTTCTAGCTATTCCGCCCTGAACTCTGTTTGGAGTTGACGTCTCGCAAATGTTTGCAGCCCTTTATATTGAGCCTTTGTTGGAGTTTCACCGAAGGCACTCGGCTTTCGGGATGGTGAGACGCAAGCTGCCGCTGGCTCAGGCTGACCCGGTCCCTGTGATTTAGGCTATTTGTGTGGAAACAGATGCACCGTATGAAAACATTTATAATGCGGACAAGTAAGGAAGCCAAAGTTTTCAAGAATGTTACTTCCCATTGCCTGCCTCGAACTTTCCCTGTTTTGGTTGAATGGTAAGGTGCTGAGATCAATTTCTCTAAATATAAACAACCTGTAAGTCTTCTCATTCAGATTAATTCCTCTAGCTGTAGCTTTCAGAAAGCTTTGATTCAGACAAAAGTTACTTTTGTTTGTAATTCATTCTCTTGTAATTAGTATTTGTATTGGTTTTATACCTGGTGAGATTTTTGTCATGAATAATTAGGATAATGAATTGTCCAGCAGTCAGAAAAAGGCACTACACATCATCCAGGGTACTACACATCATCCAGGGTTCTACACATCGCCCAGGGTTCTACACATCATCCAGGGTTCTACACATCATCCAGGGTTCTATACATCATCCAGGATTCCACACATCACCCAGGGTTCTACACATCATCCAGGGTTCTACACATCATCCAGGGTTCTACACATCGCCCAGGGTTCCAGGGACGCTTGGGCACCCTTCGCTGCCTTCTATATAAATTAGCGCCATTTTTTGAACATTTTCGTCGCCTGGTTGCTCAGAAGCAGACTGTGAGACTGATAGCCTAAACATCACCCCAGTGTCGGCGTCTCACTGTCGGAGACCCTCTCCGCCTCCAATCATGAATATTCAAAACCTGGATTCCTGATCGTTGGCCTTCAGAAACTGTTTCAGATTTTGGTGGGACCTACGTCTCAAGCAGCAGCAGTAGGGTGATGCTTTTGTTGAAGAACAGTCCTAGATGCCCTTTGGTGACCTTCAGCGCCTCCAGTAACGATCGGGCCGTTGTTCTCACTGTCTTTTTCCTAGACAGCGCATAGCAAGGGTTTATGCAGCCGGTAGTGGGGATGCTAACGTGCGGAGGGTAGTAGGTAAGCCCTGGGATGGCGGTCGGCTGCCCTGCATGCCTTCATGGTGGGAGACCCCGATCTCATCCTCATAGTGACGGTGGCAGGTGGGCGGAGCTGGGTGTCCGCCGCTCATACCCCCGTGGCACTTGTGCACATGCGCGTGGGCACACGTGCGTGCACACACCCACCCACCCACCCACGCACGCACTGTACGCGCAGGCCGATGCGTATGCATCGCAGTGCACGCAAATGCGTGCGGATGGAAGGAGGGTACCCTGTGAATTCTGCTTCAGTATGGCTCTATGTGCTGCCAGGTGTTTTCGTGTCACTGTGTCTTTAAGAGTGTGTGCCCTTATCGATGTCCGTGATTCCTGTGCATCCTAACTGGTGGAATAACCGTGTGTAATGTGTTGCGCTTATCTGTGTTTTCATGATCCAGTGGCATGTGCCATGTGCTGTGGTGACAGTCCCTTATTTTGGTGTCGCTGTCCGATCGGCCCACGGAACTCTTACATGCTGTGTCTCCTTCCAGCCCCCGTCGTGACGGGAGCAGGACCCAGCTTCTCCCTCGGGGAGCTGCAGGGGCACCTGGCCTATGACCTGAACCCCTCCGCCATCGGCCTGAGGAGGACACTGCCCAGCACCTCCTCCAGCGGGTCGGTGCCCCCCCCTCCCCCCACCACCACCGCCAACAAGACGCACCTGAACACTGCAGGAAACACCCTGAAAAGGGTCCCAAAAATGTGCCCAGGCCTTGTCTTGTGTAGTGAAAGTGACATATTGTTTTTTTTTTCCAAAGATAATAAAATAGAAATAAAAATAAAATAAGGACCATTGAATCAAAATGGTGCCATTTTAACTGGCAAATTTTATCATTAAAAAAGGAATTTTGCATGTGCTTATTTAGCAGATACTATTTGCTAAAACAACATATAGTTGAGAAAGCAGAGCCAGTGAGTCACTAGAGTAATTGGTGGCTAAGGGCCTTGCTTATAGACCCGACAGTGACGTCACACAACCAGTGACCTGCCGATCACAGACGCAGTGCCACACAGTGACCCTTTGGGATCAAACTTCAGGTGAATTGGTAAAATCATGTGATAATGAATGTAATTCAAATGTAAGTTTAAAAAAAACAACAACAGCATCCTGACGGATCAGCGCTGCGGCTGGCCTGCCGGTGGGTTACCGTACGGGTTGCCGGTTCCCGTCACGGAAAGCGGCTTTCGGTAAGGCTGCAGGGACAGGCCAGTGACTGAAGGCAGCAGTGTAGCCTCAGAGGGCCAGGTGACCAAGGCCCCGCCCTCTGAAAGCGCCATGCCCGGCGGGTCAGGTGACTGCCGGCGCTGTGATACGATACCATTTATCTGGTGCCCCAGCGCTGCCCAAATTCCAGCTCTGACATCCGATCCCGTTTAATATTCCGAATCAGGAGCAAAGCCGGAAAGAGGGGGCTGTCAGCAGTTTCTCATTGCCGGATTTTCGCTCTGTAACCCCCCCAGAGGAACTCAGTCATCTCCTCTCTCTCCATCCCAGGAGCAAGAGACCCAAGTCTGGCTCCATGGAGGACGACATCGATACCAGTCCTGGGGGAGAATACTACCCATCACCCACTTCTCCTGCCAGCGGGTCCCGCAACTGGCAGGAGGAGATGGAAGGCGGTGAGCGGCCCGTCCGCGGCGGGCGAGCGATCCTGCTGTTAGCGGGACCTGGGATACTTACGTGATCACATGACCCTGTTTACGTGCTAGCAGATGTGTTGTATGGTAAAATACAGCGAAGTATAGTAAACGATGTCATATGTTTGGGTGATACCTCTGTAATCTAGTACTTGTGACCCGAACTTGAACTTGAAATATAAAACCATTCTTAATGAATATCAGTTTTATTAAAATGTTTATTCTTTATTAATATGAATTGACAAAACATCTGTTGAGATAAAACGTAACCCTGCTTACTTACTTAGTTTTTAACATTGTTAGCCCAATTCCCGGCCCGGCGCACGCCTACGTGGGTGTGTTAGTTTGCGCCTCGTGATGGACGGGCATCCAGCCCGAGGTGTCCCCTATCCCCTGATTCCTGGGATAGGTTCCAGGCCCATTCTGGATTAGCGGAATGGACGACAGAAAGACGGATGGATAGTTTTTCCTGCTAGATGCTTCCGGTTTTGCCTTACCGTCTCTTTTCCAGCTGTTCAGTGACCAACAGACAATGAACCTTCAAAAAAATCCATCTTATTTGATGTGCTAAAAGTTGAAAAAAAAAGTAAAGAAGGAAAAATGCCACAATTTGCTGGAGGACCGTTGGTAGGACATTAATGTGGGCCCCAGGGGTGTCTGTGCTGAGACTCACTGGGGTGACGTTAGCCTGCTGTCCGGCGGTCAGGGCTGCTTCTGGAGAAGCAGTGAAGCAGGGAAGGGGAATGGGCTGCTGGCTAATGGACAGGCCCGGAGGAGAGTGGCGTGTGGGGGTGGAGAGGAGCCTAATGGTAGCATTAGATGGCGGGGGGTAAAACGGTATGTGTTTGTAGAGGGGGGCTGCGGTTCAGAGGGCGTCAGGCTCTAAATTGAAACCACTTATTGGCTTATTGAATATTCTGATCTG